TCTTAAGTTGAATCTGTATGTAAGTCAGAACTGGCCTCCAGATTCAGCCACTGTTGAAACTGGTCAGTTTCAGCAGCGGCTGAACCTGGACGCCAGTTCCGACTTACATACAGATTCAACTTAAGAACAAACCTACAGTCCCTATTTTGTACATAACCTAGGGACTGCCTGTATGATCAAATAAACTTGTTAGAAAGTTTAGACACATATGGGTCTAAAATGTTTAAGATGGCATCTGTAACTCACAGTTTTGTTTTGTTTTTTGGTCACGTGACTGGATCCAACCAAACTCTACATAACAAGTTACTATAGTTAGCTTTCTCCATAGCCAAATTTGTAATGTCCTCTATCTAAAAGTAAACAAATTTTGTTTCTTCATTTTTTAGTATCAAAGATGTGTCTAAGAATTCTTAATTCATTAAATTAAAGATCTAAAATCACTCATGCAGTTTTAAAAAATATGGAAAAGATGACAGTTCAATATTAACAATGAAATAAACACATGAGCAAGTGAACACTTAAAAGGGCTTTGGCAACAGACAGATTATTTTCTTGTACGTGTCCTGTTGCATCAGTGGCAGTTAAGTCCCTCTTTGCATATCTCAGAATACTAGAACTAGAAAAGACCTTGAGAGGGCCATCAAGTTCAGTCCCCTGACCACATAACAGGGCCAAGCATCATCTAGATCAGTGGTCCCCAACCTTTTGGGGCTGCCGGGTGCCTAGGGGCGGGGCCACTCACGCGCCGGGCACCCGGGGGTGGGGCTGCATGCGCACCCGGGGGTGGTGCCACCCATACACTGCATGCCCGGCACCGGCATCACCCATGTGCCGCACATCCAGGGGTGGGGCTCCCCATACATCACACACCTGGGGCCAGCGCCACTCCTGTGCCGCGCACCCAGGGGTGAGGCCACCCATATGCAGTGCTCCCACGGCCGGAACAGCCCATGTGCTGCATGCCTGGGGCCGGCGTCACTCCTATGCCACATGCCCAGCTGAGGGGATGCCCATACGCCACGCGCCCAGAGCCGGCACAGCCCATGCGCCGCACGCCCGAGTGTGGGGCCGGCCCCGATCACTCGGCGGGTGCAGTGAAATGGCCTGGCGGGCGCCATGGCACCTGCGGCACTGTGTTGGGGACCACTGATGTCTGTGTAACCTGCTCTTAAATATCGCCAATGATGGAGATTCCACAACCTTCCTAGGCAATTTATTCCAGCATTTAATCAACCTGAAGTTTTTCCTAATGTTCATCCTCAAATTGCTGCAATTTAAGCCCATTGCTTCCTGTTGTAAATGGCCTGGCGGGCGCCATGGCACCTGCGGCACTGTGTTGGGGACCACTGATGTCTGTGTAACCTGCTCTTAAATATCGCCAATGATGGAGATTCCACAACCTTCCTAGGCAATTTATTCCAGCATTTAATCAACCTGAAGTTTTTCCTAATGTTCATCCTCAAATTGCTGCAATTTAAGCCCATTGCTTCCTGTTGTCCTATAATAATTCTCCCCTCCTCCCCAAAACACTCTTTTAAGCTGCTATCATACCCCTCTCAGTTGTCTCCTTTCCAAACTAAACAAACCCAGTTCTTTCAGTCTTCCCTCATAGGTCATGTTTTCTATACCTTTAGTCATTTTTGTTGTTCTTCTCTGGACTTTCTCT